AAGGACCTTTTTGTCCTTCGCCCTAGCCAACCAAAAATTGATCTCAGGACAACAATTTTGGGAAATGGAATCATAAAAACGGGGCCACCCTAATGTACATATAGTAGTAATTACTTTTGACCTTGTTAACAGTGATTGGAATAAAGTTCAATGATAAAAGTAATTGATTATTGCTGTCATATTTTCTCCATAATTTTTTTTTACTTAGTCCTGTGCGTTAGTTAGTTAGTTGATTAGTGCTTATTTTCAATGAAAGTTTCTGGAAGGATGTTTGAAAGTAATAGTATCTTGTAAATACAAATTTATTTATTTATAAAATCGCAGTATTTACCAATGAATTAATTTGTTTATACTTTAATATGTGCGTTATTATAATTCTTTCATGTTATATTTCACAAATATAGTGGGCGTGGCACTTTCCATATACAGAAAATATTAAATTTCTGAGAAAATAAAAAGTTAGAGTCCTCCAATTTTGTAAGAACCACATTAGTAATAATATGAATATTTTTGACAAAAATGGGCGGACAAGAAATAGGATACCAGATTCCCCCATGTGAACTAAGTACAAAAATGTCAACATTAGTATAATAAATTGGCGGATTAGCAATAGAGGGCGTGAAACCCTTCAAATGATTAATGTATATCTGGGAAAATATTGGAGCTGGAATAAATACCTAAAAGTCGTAAATCTGGGAATATATAACAGCTAGAAATTTTTTTATGGGAATATGGTTTTTAGTCTAGCGGAGCATACTAGGTAAGCTAGTTTAAATATAAATAAAAAAATTCCATTGTCGATATATGTATGTATGTATAAACTGCTCACTTATATTTCGTACAATTGTTCCAAGGACATTAACACTGACCATAAATCAACCAACAAATCATAAAGAAATAATTGAATATTCAACAAAAGAGAAAAATATGAAAAACAAACAAAAACAACTGAAAAGTATGAATCCCAACAGACTGAAACAACATAATGCAATCAACGTATCGTTCTTCAATCCAACCTATGAACCAACTTCTTAATTCAACAGCAAAAAGTATCTGTTCATTAAACGCATTGTTGTTTTGTCGGTAACCCACGGTAATAAAATTCATAGAATTCGCGAATTCTTCGAAAAATTAGTCAATGTGATAAAGTTTTTACAATAAAGTAAATACAATACGAAACGAAAAGGGACGTCACAAAACAAAACCACTTGTAAAATGTACTTGAAGTTACTTGAAGTATGTATGTATGTATATCATAACAACATCAGGTGGAAAACAATGAAAAAAGGAACAGCGTGGCAACAAAAAAATAAAAAAGTTATCGTATATACATACATACGTACATAAACAACTACCATAAGAAAGAATAAGTAAATAACAAACAATGGGATACAGATAGACCTGGTTCATACATATTTTGAAAACAAAAAAAAAAAAAAAACTATTCATAATTTATTTTAATTTTGTTTTTTTTTTTACATTTTAAATCAAAACAAAAATGTTATCATCAACAACAAACTGTTTAAAGTAATTCATAAATAAAGCAGCATTTTCCAAATGAGATAGAAAACGGTGTGGACACTCAAATTCATGTTGAGATGTTGGCAAGGTATTTACAGAATCAAATTAAATGAATTTTCCTAATGGAATGGTACTCCTCTCAAGTTGTATTAGGTAGGTAAGTGGAAGGTACGCCTGTCGCTTGTTTCTACCATTATTTGTTGTACTCTTTCCTATTGACATGTTGCATTTGGAATTCATGACTTTAGAGGAAATTTATTACGATTCTTGAGGCATAAAATACAACAGCACTTATAAAATTAATAATAGATCCTGGTATCACAATTCGCAGTTTTCCCTATTTTTTTGGCTTTAATATAAAAAATAATGACTGTGTACACAAATCAGTTGAAATAGTTTTCATTCAATACTACCCAGCAAAAAATGTGTGGAAAAAGATGTAGAATTTTCATCACAACTAGTAACCCGAAGTGCTTCAAATTCGGGTGTAAAACCTATGAATTTTTTTTAGCGTGTCATTGGAGGGATGTTGTTCATTTTTGTCAGCTTTGAACTACATCTGATCTTATTTTTAGAAGCAGTAAAAATCCGATATTTGGATGTCAAAAATAAAACACATTCTCTTAATAACACGCTTATGTAAATTTCACTACTCTTTCACCAAATCTTGATGTACTTCAAATATGTTATTTGTAATGACTTTTCCACATCTCTTTCCTCACTTTTAACTGGGGTTTCATTTGTAAGGAAATATTCGGTTTATAAAAGTGAAAAAATATGAAATCGCATTTTAAGATGTGATTAAGATGTAGTTTGTAAAGTATGACATCAATTATTTTTTGCTGGGTAGTTAGACATTAAGATGATAGTAATAATCAACTGTTGATTTAGAAGTCTTCAACACAAGTCAGTAAATATTAATTTTGTTGGCACAATGCCACAGTAATTGGATTCAACAGATAATTTACATACACTGCCCCAATATTCATAAACGAGTAATATTTTTTTAATAATTATTATTTTACACATTTTTATATTTTAGTCCTGTGATTAAATACTAAATACTTGTGCCTATAATATTCAATTCTTTAATTGTATAAAAGTTACGAATATTGACCGTTTCTGTCTCCAGACTTAAACTTTAATTTATAAAAGTGCATTCTGAAAAAATTTTGGACGATAGGACTACGTTAACTGGTGCCACCAAAGCTCTTAAGTGGAAAATGGTTTTGCAATAATTTTACCACTTAATTTATACTCAATTATCGTTTCAATAAGATATAAAGCACAAAAATCGGTCAAAAATTGTATATGTTATTATAAATTCCTCAGATTATTTAGTATCACAAAACACTTAAATGAGAAATATTAAAAAAAAAATTAGAACTTTTTATGAAATATTCTAATAAAAGTATGTGATTACATTAAAAATATTCATATTAACTTAAATGTGAGTTTATTATCATCATTAGATAGGGATATAGTCATTAATGGTTTTTTTTATTTTATATTTTATTAATCAATTTTTAAAATTTTGATCAAATCTCCATGTAACTTATCGACAATAAAGGGAAAAGGGAATGGACAATAAAGGGAAAAAACAAGTAAAGAAATTAGATCCACATCCCCCACAGATAAGCAGAATACTTGCGATTTGAATTTTGGGGATTTCGAAGAAAAACACTTTTTGTAATATTTTTGAAAATTAGCTTTAATTCCTTACTGTTATGTATTTTCAGAATATACCTTTTCAGAATATAAAATTCCAGATAATATGATACATATGCACATCTGAAGTTTTAGTAAAATCGAATAATGTTAACCTATAAACTGTTAAGCTCAAAATCAAGTTTTGCAAATTCGGAGGTTTTCTTGAAACCATAATGAAATATTATTTTGTTTTCAACCAATTTAAACGAAACTTAGGAATAATATATAAAAAAAGACCCGTACTTATGATGACATTGGAAAAATCAAAATTAACCCTTAAATGTAAATATATTTTTATAATTATATAAAATGTGCGTAATATATGAACCAATTATTCAATGCCATTTGCGTGCAAATGGTGGATGATAGAGAAAAATAGATCTCAGATTCGGGTGCAGCAGCTAAAAATACATTAAAACCAATCAAATTGATTTAAAAAGTTTTTATACATCTTCATTTCGTTGGCTTGTGTAATAATAAGTCAATATAACGCTTTGAAATTAAACACGTAAGTGTTCTATATTCGGCTGTGCCGAATCTTATATACCCTTCACCATAGTGTGTTTACAATTTTATTACAAGAAATCATACCAGTTGTAAAACGAAAAAGTACCAAAAAGTCCCGCATTATATGTTCTCCTTTAAATGGTATAGAAAACTCAAAAAGTACCTTTTGAAGAACGAAAAAGTACCAAAATGTCCAATTTTATAGGTCCTCATTTACTCCGGTCTGTACTTACATGATTAATTTCATGTTTCTAGACAATAACAACACACAGCTTCATTCGTAACGTGTTGTACTTACTCTGTTTTGTTTTTATAAACAAGCAAAATATGTACAAGAACAAAGTTTATCATATGATGATGCTGTTTGTTGTTGTTAATTATTTTTGTCTAAACATGCACAATAAATCTTAATTTTTGATGCAATTTTCAGAGGTTGTCTCGGATTTTTGGTCATACCTCCGTTATTTTTGGACCGATTTTGTGGACTTTAAATTGCGTTCTTCCCGAACGGATGTATGATAGAATTATTGAAGATTCGTATCTGGCGAATATCTGACTGATATATACCCTTCTCACGAAAGTGAATGGTATAAAAATCAAATCAACCCAACAAAAATACATAATTGTATAGAAACCCTCAAAAAAACATTATGACAAAATGTAACAACAACATCAAATCCATGATGTTACAACAGAATAAACGAAAACACCAAAAAAGGGTTTCAATACAATTATGTATTTTTGTTGGGTTGATTTGATTTTTATACCATTCACTTTCGTGAGAAGGGTATATATCAGTCAGATATTCGCCAGATACGAATCTTCAATAATTCTATCACACATCCGTTCGGGAAGAACGCAATTTAAAGACCACAAAATCGGTCCATAAATAATGGAGAATTGTATAGAAACCCTCAAAAAAACATTATGACAAAATGTAACAACAACATCAAATCCATGATGTTACAACAACAGAATAAACGAAAACACCAAAAAAACTCATTAAGTGGAAAAGCATCAACTCCCCTCAAAACAAAATGCAAAAACAGAGACGTCACTATAACAAAACAAAGAACGCACTAATACATTTCATAAACAACACAATTGACACCCAACAACAAAATGAGATGGCCTGATGAAATGCAAAACTTTTGAAACAAAAAAATGCCGTATAATAACAACAAAAGCGGTTGTAAAGAAAGTACAATAATAATAATATATACTTAAGAAAATATCACATTTAATATTCATGACTTCCTTACTTGTTTTTTTCTTATACATAATTGGTTACTTTACAAGATAGTGATGGGTGTTGGCGGCAGCATCGTAAACACTTTTTTGTAATTTGTACTTGTTTATCACTTAATTAATACTTTAAATTAATTTCATTTTTAATAAATTATTATGAAAAACACAATTTTAAAACGCGTCTCTATAAATTTTAACAAATTTGCAACCGCTTAGTTTAATGATTAAAAGAGAACTAATAAAAAGTAGAATATCCAAATGAAAGGGAATAGCTAAAATGTCAAAATGCTTAATTAGTTTTTAAAATCCTTAAGGTATGCTAAGGATTTTGCGTGTTTAGTTTTTATACATACATTCATGGACATTTCTGAACGATGCGCAATGTTATTATAGTTGAAGAGAATATAAAAACAGATAATGTAGCCTATCTTAAGTCTGATTTACAGATAATTTTGTACTATTTTAATACGTTTTTATATATTTATTAATTTTACTTTAATAATCATAATTAAAGAATTTAAATGATTACTGTTTTCTAAATAGAACTGTAACATTTATGTTAAAATATGTCTTAACATATACAATATGTTCAGGCAAACTTAGAAAACGATGCTTATTATATTTTAGGTTTCTCTTTTATTCGTCTTCTTCTTTTTTTGATAGTTCTCCTTTAGTCTTTAAACTAAGCAGATACAAATTGTTAAAATTTATAAAGAAGCAAGTAAATATTTACATAGTTTTTTGAATAATTTATTGAAAACAGTGTTAATTAAGTGAAAATGCTAAAGAAGTGTTTTAGTGTTTTCTCCCATAAGAAATTAAGTAGTTTCGGATTACTGCCGCCACCCACTATTACTTCGTGCAGGCAATAAAATTTACAACAAAGCGAAATGTATGTATATATGTATATAAAAAATAAGTGCGGAAAATTATTTGTTAGAATTTAGCAAATTTAACCACTTTTTCATAAACGTACATATGATTTTCTAGATACAAAACTTTCTTATTAATGTTGTTGTTGTTTTTCTCCTTCCCAATATTTGTTGGTATACATAGCATTGTTAGTGTTTCAAAGGTTTTGCATGGCATTAGGCCTTTATAATTTATAAAAAAAGAAGTAATGTTTAGTGTTAAGTGTATAAGTGTTCCTTTCCCCCTAAGAAGTTTCTGGAAGCTGTTACCACCCACCATTAAGTTGTTTAGCGATTCATTTATAAAATAAAATAATGAGAACTGTGCCGAATTTTAAACAGTCAGTACAAATTTTATTACAAAAAATCAAAAAATACCAGTTTCAAAACGAAAAAGTAGCAGAAAACTCAAAATGTACTTTTTGAAGTGCGAAAAAGTACCAAAAAGATCCTTTTTATAGGATCTCACTTAATCCGGGCTCTACATGCTTAATTTCATGTTTCAAGTTCAATAATACATATTATAGAAAATTCAAAAAGTACCTTTTGAAAAACGAAAAAGTACCAAAAAGTCCCTTTTGATATGTTCTCACTTAACACTGGCTCTACGTACATAAGTTCATGTTTATAGGTTCAATAATATAAAAAATTCAAAAAGTACTTTTTAATGAACGAAAAAGTACCAAAAAGTCCCATTTTATAGGTTCTCACTTAATCTCTAAATACTTAATTTCATGTTTCTAGGCAATAAAAACACACTGCCGTATGATTTTATGAATGTTTTGTTGTTTTTATAATTTCTGTCTCAGCATGCACCAAAAATCTCAATTTTTGATGAAATTTTCAGAGGTTGTCTCGAATTTTTGCTAATATCTAAGTTATTTATGGAACGATTTTGCTGATTTGAAATAGGAAACTTCTCAAAGCATGTCTGACAGAATTGTTGAAGATTTTGGTCCTGAAGATATCTGGAGTCTTCAAAAAATTGATTTCGAAAAACATAGAGACGGACATAGCTTAAACGACATAACTATCTATAAGACTCGGAATATATATATTTTATAGGGTCGAAAAAAATCAGAAAAGTGGGCTTATTCGTTTTGACTACTAAAACGTGCAAAAAAAGAAACAAAATTATAACGCTTTAGCAAAATTAATCAATTAGTACAAACTGGGGAATTTTCGAAAGTTAAATGAAAGTAGGCACAGGGGTCTTGGGGTCTGAATATTATGTATGTAAAGCAAGATATTGCCGTCAAATGGCTTAATCGACTCAGAAGTGATTCTATGTCGATCGTTATACTTTAAGATGTAGGATAATTTGCATAAATGTGTAAAAACATCAGCATAAACCCATAACATCCTTCCCACCGTGGTGGTGCAGTATGGTTTGGTTGGTTAGGTTGATAGGTGGATGTAACTACATTAAATACGAAGAAATATACCTAGGCCACTATCAGGCCTGTTGTGCGCTCCTTTCCATGGAAAATGTTTTTGGTAAGAACAAAAACCTTATAGTATTACTTACTAAATGTATTAGTGCCCGCAATCCTATGTGTCCACTCAGAATACGTACCATCATACTAACCTAAGACTTGTTCATTTTGAGGAGGCCCTCGCTGCTGCAAATGGGTTTTCGTTCGTCAGGTTAACTACCTCGAGCTCCCTACCCTTTTATATTCTAGCATATTTTAAAAGTTTCAGGCTTTAATATTCAAATATGTACGTATTTCAGGTTTATTAAAAATATATTTGTATGATTATCTACTTGCAGTTATCAAACTGGAGAAAATATTACCGGGAGTAGAATCATCACCAGGAGTTTCTGAAGGTAATTTTTATTTTTTTTTTCGTGATGCACTTTATGTGTTTAAATAAATTGGTTTTATTTTAGAATGGGGCTCTGGTTGGAAAGGCACAAATTTTATAGTCGAAATCGAAGAGGCTGCAACGAGTTCTCCTATAAGTTCAGATTATATCAGCAGCCGAGAAGATATTTCCAGCACAGTGACAATAAATACAACAAATATGATAACACAAGGTAAAAAACCGATTTTTAAATATGTATGTACATACATATGTATATTTGACCATGGCATCTCATAATGTCCATGGACGCAATGACACTGTTCATGTTTCGTACTTTTATCTAGCCTTCTTCGGAATGTCGTTTAATAGCTACATATAAATTTGTTATTTATGAAATATCTAGAAAAATAAGTTTCAAGCAAACATAAATCATAAATTCATTTTAGTAATAAGTAAGACATAAGTAAGTTTCCAAACTATAGTGGATTAGTTTGGAAACATACTTACTTATATGTTTATAAAAAATATTGATTTTGTTTGTATGTGTCTTATTTTGTTAATTAGTATCTTGAAGAAATCAAAAAGAGTCCTATTATTTACCTAATTTTACACTTAACGGGTTCCCGTTATTCGATTGGGCTAAAACTTAACACCAGTTAGTTTTAGACAGTAATGAACAAAATAATATTCTAATGTGCATATACATATCGTCATATGAAATCCAAAAAGCCCTAAGTTACATTGAACAAATTTTTCAGGAGAAGCAAAAAAACGTCTAAAATGATAAATAAACCAAAAATGTTTAACATTTTCTCTAGTTAAGCTTATTTCTTATTGACAAATTATTATTTGAAGAAAAAGTTGCGGTTTTACTTACGGTGATATGAAGCTTACGCCCTTGAGAATTTGTTTTTTCTGAAACCCAAAAGGGCGTAAGTTACATTAAAAAATAGTAAGTTTTAACATTTTCAACTAAATTCAAATCGGTTTTTGTTGGTCAAATAGGCCGAAACATGGAAGGCATAAGGCTTCTTTGTTTTCATAAAGATTTTCGGAAATTGGAATTTTTCTTTGAAAAAATTCTAAAACTGTTAAAATAATCTCTAAATTACAATGATTCGCTAAAAGCGCCATTTTTATTTTATTTGATGCCAACTTATAACATTTCACAGTTTCGAAGTTAAAAAGTCAAAAGAATTTTAAAATTTTCATGAATTTTAAGGTAATTTTAGAATATAACCTTTTAGAATTTCTTTGATTGATTTAATTGTATATTGATTTTAATTGTAGGAGTGTAAAATGATCAGGAACATGTATTTTGATACGGTGCATCATAATCAATCAATCAATCAATCAAAAAGTCGATTTTGATTTTTTTGTAACGTAGGGCTTTTTGGATTTCATATGACGATATGTACATATGTATAACACAACACACATGCATACTACTATTTTAAACGTCGAAAAAAATCGTACTATTTTAATGAAAATCTTTCTTAATTTATACAAAATCTATATTTTTTGGAAGAAATCCCTATTTATGTATACATATATTCTATAAATTTACGAAAATGTGGTCCCAGAAAGAAATCGAACATTTGTAACAAATTATCGAAATTAATAACTTGTTTGCTCTCGAAGAGTACATGAATTGGAAGTGTGTATGTATGATTAGTTTTTAAATAAAAAAATAAAAACGGAATTTGTATAATAATCTGATTGAAGAAGAATTTTCAAGTGATAAGAAAACTGAATGAAATACAATCCTAATAACGTTTACATATGAACGTATAATCTGTTGAGCTAAAGAAAACAACGGAAAACATCAAACATATTAAATATTTAAATATAGAGTCATCAAGACTCAATGACGGCGCCTTTTGTTCCTAAGAATTTTGGTCACGTAAAATTATTTACTACAAAATTAATTTAAAATGTTTATTTTCATCTAAATCATACATACATATACATACACATACATACTTTTTTATGCTGTTTATCTTTTAAGGTCCAAAAATTATTGTACGAACAGAAGAGATTTTAATAGTTGGCTTAGTGTTAATGCTATGGGTTGGTGCAATTGTTTTATTCTTTAACCGTTGGGGTAAAATACGCATGTTAGAGCCGTATCAGCCGAAATTTCAACAACAACATCGAGCTTCCTGCCCTTTATCCGATATAGATCCCATACCTCATCAGGTAAATCAGTAACAATCGAATGAATCCAATGAATTTTTTAACTATGTACATAGTATTTAACAAATTGAATTGTAAGGTATTTTATTTTCACACTTTGCTATTTTCGTTTACCATTTTAGCGCTCATCTGTTTCACGAATGTCAATGGGTTTTGTTAACAATGTAAATATGCCATCCTGTCAATTTTCTGCCTATAATCCAACGATATACTCAAAAGGTAATTTTCACACTTTTTCAACTATTTTACACTTAAGGGTTTGCGTACTCATCATTATCTACCAACAAAGAATGTTCCATTATAAAACAACTCATTTTTCACAAACAACAAATATTTACACAATCGTTTCCCCAACCGCAATACAGATTTTGTTTGCATTTTTGTTTGTTTCAGTGTAGGTTTGCATTAAATTTTCTTAAACAAAATGTAAAGTTAGAGTTTAAATTCAATTTGAGTGGTTAATATGTAGATTGTACAGTACAGTAGAGTGTCCCGAGGAACAGCCTTTTCAAGAATTTCATGTAGGAATACCTCTCAATCGATGCGTATTAATGTATGAACACGACAAAATTTAAAATTATTATTTTTTTTGAATGGTCCTAAGTTCCCTACTAGCGATTGAATATTCTGACCCCAGTATAATTTGTGAAAAATAAAACAACTTTGATATTTTTGAAATGAGTCTCAAAAATTCCGTAATTTTGCGCTGATTACAAGAAAAATAATTTGAAAATTTTTGTAAAGTATTTTTGGTCCACAAAATGATTTTTAGTGGGTTGGGCATATTATTTTAGCTTTTAATCAAATAGGTGTAAAAATTGTCGTAATTTTAAGTAAGAAATATTTAGAAATTTTTTGGTCCATGTCGAACTTTATGAGGATCTGTGCTTATTGACCCCATATAAGGCCCCTCAGAAAATTACTTTAAAGTTCATAACTTGATACAAAATTCCACTATCTTTTCCAACGAAATTCGGCATATACAAGTTTTATAGAAACTAAAATCTCTCTATCAAATTTTATGAGAGGTCAACAATTGACCATACCTCCCATATAAGGTCCTCTTCAGAAAATAATTATAAGCCCCAAAAACAAGCTTTAAAACCACGCATAGCAATAAAATTCAACATGAACATAGGAACTATAATCTCTTTGTCCCCCCAGAAAATGACTTTATGGATAGAAATGCAATTCAACATAACAAGTTTTATTGAAACCAAAATATTTGTCAAATTCTGTGAGTATTTGTCCATAATTGACCATACTTTCTATATAATCCCTTTTACCGAAAATAATCATATAAAATAAATCGTTAAAAAATTTATTATGTATATTATCATAATAAATGTCGCCCTGACGTTGACAATACTATTTATATACGATTTAAAAATTAAGAATAAATGAGTAACAAATAACAAAATGTTCGATTCATATAGTAAAGGACCACTTTCCGAAATTCACGTAAAATATATGGTATATGATTTGATGGTGGATGTAAAAGATTTGGCAGAGCCGAATATAATACTCTGAATATAAACCTAATATTTATCACAATAAAAAATTGAACAAAACATACAATTTTGTACTTAAAAATCAATATGTTGATATATTTCTGTTAACTGGTTTATAAACTCTATTTGACATCAATATAAACACAAGGGGTAAAAATGGGCGGTTTATTTATAGTGGGCGTGCCATCTCGTATATAAATTATATACAAAAATTCGTTTGTTTGGGAAACTATTAGAGCTAAAATTTTCAAATTTTGCACGAAAAACTTTAACGTCCATGTGAACATTTGGGGGGGAAAATAGGCGGCTTTTCAATTGGCGGCCTTTGAACCTCCTATATGTATTAAATACAACAATTCGTATATCTGTTAAACTATTAGAGTTCATAATTTCGGCACCCCCCATATGAATTAGATTATTAAAATAGATTACATTAAAATCCAAATTAATATTTGGAAAAATTGACAAACTTGCAATAGTGGGCTTGGCATCTCACATGTGAAATAAATACAAAAAATCTTTTATCTGAAAAACTATTAGAGCTAGAATCTTCATACCACAATGTACTTTTAAGGATAAAAGTGCTTTCACTATTGTGTGCACAAAAAAGGTCCTGTTTCTAGATAAAGTGCGAGCATATTGAATTTAAATTTTATTTGTATTTTGTTATTGTAGCAAAAATACATGTAAAATTTTTACTCAAAGTACTCACACGCTATCTGGAAACTACACATATAACTTGCTTATGAATACAAGCGTAAGTGTGTAAATTAAATAAATAATTACGATTAATATACCAATACATTTTTAGAACCATATACATAAGAGTAACTAACATAGCAAATTCGCAATATATTTCTGTTGAATTATGTACATATTTATATGTTACATACATCATGTGCATATTTATAAGTGTATGTATGTACATATGTATGTATATCATTTACATAAAATATCACAACAAAATATTTAAGTTTGTTTTTAATTAATTTTTACTTATTGTCGTCATTCAGTACATTAAATGTTATAATCTTTTCAGTGTAGTGCAGTGAAGCATGTGAGTTTTGTTAAATAAACTTAATAATACTAAATACACTAGCATTTATTTGCATGATGGGTCGGATGTTTGTGAATGTGGGTATTTGTAATAAATATAAAGGAACGTTTGAAAATCTCAACCTTTTAAAAAGGCAAACATTAAAACAATTTATTTTAATTCACCAGTAAAAAAATTCTTGACTCTCAAGTTCCATTATCTTCTAACTATACATATGTACATGCATATTTACATTTCATAGGGATGTAACCTACATAGTTTATATAATTTGTTAACTGTTTCAGTTCTTATTTAGTTTGAGCACAAACCGATTTTGCTTTGAAATTTTATTTCTGGCATTTCGATTTTTTATTGCGTTTCTGCTCATATTTGTAACACCTATAAATACTTGTTGAGTCGACTAATTTTATCAAGATAATTTCATAAAATTTGCCACATGTGGACGAAGCTTATTGAGAATGATTAAAATCGTTCCATTATTTCACCTAGCACCCATACAATTTAACCCCTCAAAAAGGCTTTTGAGCTCATAATTATGTTAAATATACTTGCAACTCGCTACAAAGTGGTAAAATTAAGTTTTATGCAAACTTCGATGACCTTGCCGAATATCGTTATGATAGGGCTTCATTTGACCGTAGCCCCCATACATAGCGCACTTCAGAAAATTACTTAAATGTCCACAATTAACTTATAAACACTAATATCGAAATTTAGCACAAATAAATATCCAAAAAATTTTATCGGGATCGGTCCATGTTTGCCCCTAGTTCCCATATAAAATCCCTTTCAGAGAATTTGTTTTAATAACATTAATAACATACTAACGTAACTCCGAAATTTCGCATTTAATTTAGATTTTTCGAACGTAACATTGCAAAATTCAATTACAAAATTTGTATCATCTAATAAACAAAGAGAGTTAAATACATAAAAGCTTGTAAAAATAACACCCTAATGTACATTCATATGTATATACATATGTACATACGTGATAAAGGAACATAAAAATCATTGTTAAGTTCATCATGAGAAATCTGAGATAATGCTGTTACAATTACTGGCATTTTAACAGCGCAACGCAGATGAATACGTAACTATTTGAGCACCCATCATACATTTGTCTCTGAGTTTCTAAAGTAATTTAATAGTTAAAGAATTCCCTTTTATTGCAGTAATTATAAGAATTTTTGATTTCACCATAATTTGTATACCCTTATTCATCATTATTGATTACTTCCTAACGATCACCTCATTTTCAATTTAAAAAAATCGTTATTTGTTTCGAAATAATAAATATGAATTGTTTAAAAATGGTTTGCTGGTATATATCATTCATGTACATATATTGTGTATATATCTTTCATTTACTACAAGACTGGTATAATCCAGAAAAAGTCGTTTGAGAAAAATGGCTTTGAATGTTTAATCACATTTTACTATTTTATAAAATAACTTTAAACAAATCAAGGGATATGAAAAATTAAACCAGAATCAGATAGAAGAGGTTTACATATATGTTTTTCATTTAAATTGAAATTTAATTTTTATTTTTTCTAATATTCGTAAACTCATGAGTTTTAGTTTTAACTTTTACAACAAAAAATCAATCTTACACCGAAAATAATAAACATATTTACGTATTTGAAATTTTATAACCTATGCATATGTCGTTTTTTAACTGAGTAGCCCTCGAATTTTTAATTATGGCAGTCTTATAGTAAATGAACGATATATGTATGTAGTATGTATGTATCTTTAATACCCTATAAAAAATAGGTATTATTCCACATCCGTTTCCGTTAACATTAGTTTGATACAGTTTGTATATGTATGGAGGAACTGAGAAGGGAATCTGTGGTGGCTCATCCATAACCTAATTCACTTCAAAACTACATATTAAAAATGGAAATATTACATTCAAATTATAAATTTTATTTACAATTTAGTTATTTTATACAATTTACAATTGTAATTAAATGTTGTAAAGAAAAATTAAAAGTTTACATACATGTATGTCGCATTAAAATTATAAATATATCGGATAAACATTGTCCTCCTCACTTTTGACTAAATTCTATCGAAAATCATCATTTAATAGTAAACTTGATCAGAAGTAAATTATCATTACTCGCAAACTATTATAGATATTTGGCTATGTTGTACAGTGTACATACATAGGTTGGTATGTACAATAGAGGTGTCTAAAAAATATCGATTTTATTTGGATGGGTCTTATTTTCTTCATTAGTGTCTAAAACTAAATACAATACAAACAGGCCTTTTAATAATTAAAATTTTTAATTGTATTTTTAGGTTATTCAGCACACACTAGACCGCGACAAAACTCGGTTTTTGTGGGCCCAAGCCCGAATCAATTTTTAATGCCAAAACCACCACGAAAAACTCGATCTGCCATGGATTTACATTCGATGATTTTAGATGAAACCGCAGAGCAAGTATAAAAAAGAAAGTGCAATTGCTATTTGATGTGATTATTTTGGGAATACATGTATGTACATATGTACGTACATACATACATATGTATATTGTAATAAAGGGAGCACATTGTTGTTAATATTTAAGATACCTACTCAATATTACATTTGATAACTGTAAAAGAAAGTCTTGCCAATAAGGAACCATTACTACAAGGAAAACATTTTTAAGGGCTCAACTATTTACTATCTCTATACTTAAAATTTAATTTATAATCTTTAAAATTACCTCTTTTTCTACTTGCTGTCTTTAATAATTATTAAATCTTTAAAATGAAATTTTTAACAATTAGTATTTTCTCATTAAACCTATTTATTATACACAACTTTTCTTCTATGTATATCACACTCTTCACTTATCCGTACTCAAGTATTGTACTTTACTTAAAATTAATTAATTAATTAAAAACGTTTTCGCAATCTTAGAAATCTGTTAAATCTGTAGTTGTTTTTTTGTAAACTGTTGTTATCTTTGAAAAAGAAAAAAAAAACATTTTTAAATTAAGAAAAATACCTTATACCATACATTGATACATAAAAATACTTAAGATAAGCTTAAAGGAATATGTAAAATTATTTATCGAACATTTTTTATATTTTTTACATGCATAATTTTTCGTTATGTATGTGTAATAATAACTATTTACTATATACATTACATACATATGTATCTTCATATACTTATTTATTTCATATATACTATACATACAAACATACATACATACATACATACATACATATGTATGTATGTATATGTCATTATATGATAAAAAAAACTTGTGGATCAATTATTATATAAACAAATATACTTACTATATACATATAATATATATTTACACTTATAAAGAAATACATAACAAAAAAATATAAATTAATATTGTTGTCTATTTATAAAATTTTACTCCCTGATTATATCAATCAATAATGATGGTTTCCTTCATCATATTTTTTATTAATGAATTTTTTACTTTCAACATTAAGTTGAGTTATGTATCTTCGATAAAAAAAACAAAAGATCAGCTAAAACAATTTAATTTTAAAGGGTCTACACGCAGAATATAGGTATTATAATTAGAGTAGACATTCAACAATATAAACAAATGCAATAAATATTGCAATTTATGGCTGCCGCAAAACGTATTTATTAATTGTTACAAGGATCATAAATAATATCCTTAAATTAACGCTCTAATATACTACTATTCATGTTGGGAGATGTTTATTCTCTGCGTGTATACTTGTAAAACAAAGCAAAAATAGGAATGTCTAGTAAATATTTGTAAAATTGTTTATTACTTACTTGTTTTACAAATACTTACTACTTTCCCCCCACTTTTATAATCAAATTTTTATTCGTTTTACAAACTTTGATAAAATGACAATTAGATTATGAATCATATAATTTTGATATTATTAATTAATTTGTAAAGTATTATTATTATTATTATTGTGCATAAATAAAACTATGTAATTATAATTTGAAAATAATTATAAAAACAGCACTGTTTCTATGAATTCATTCATCCATTATTTTTCTTTAGGGAACAGTGTACAAAAAAGGCAAGGGCAAAAAGCTTTACTATAATTAAAATATATACAAAACTTTAACAAAACTATTTTTATGATCAAAATAATAAAATACAAATAGATATACATATTAATAAATTAATTAACTATTATAATAAGTACATGCAGTGCCAATTAAAATATTTTTATAATATCTATATGAATGTATTTATTTGTTACACCTATGAATTAATTTATAAAAAAAAGCATTGAATTTAATAAAAATCATTTCGAGGAAAATTCAACACTAATCGAAGTTTAAATTAAAAAAAATCTATTGATATCGTATTCCAATTTATATGAATTTTACACGTTAATACTCATTTCTTTAAAACAATAAAGATAGAAAGAAACAATTTTAGATAATTATGATATTTTTTAATTAAACCATAATTTATGACACTGTATGTACGTACAAAAATATCAAATTGAAATAATTATATTTAGATAAAAAATCGAATATTATATAGCTGTAGTGTACAATGTTTATACAAATTTAGATGAATAAACTGGAAAACTAAATTCTCGTATTATTTATATTTACATATTTATACAAATGTATGTATAGCACATCTCGGTATTCAATAAATTATTGAACATTTAAATTTGTAAGATCAAAATGCATATACATAAATATGTACATGGATATTTTTGTATGCGTATATTAACTATATGAAACAAAAAACAAATACATATTTTATATACACTCGTACATACATACCTATTATATAAAATATAAATACTTACATATAAACTACAAAATAAAAATATAAATAAATAAACAAAATAAAATACATACATGTATATTCAAAATTATAAATATGGACTCATATCTTAATAGGACAAACCAATAAATAATGAATTTAAATGTTGAAAATATGCTACAATAAGACCAGAGAATGCATTCGAAAATGTCAGTCATTTTCATTAACGTCTAAACACATGGTTGGCTCTAATTCGTCTTTCGTATGAATGTATTCATTTTATAATAGAGGGAAGACAGTCCTTTAAGTGTCTCTTTTTTAAGCGAGCGCTGAGACAGTCGTCACTTTACTGTCCCCAAGTAATCTAGAAAAGTAAGTAATCTTATGAAACTTAAGTGGAAAAGTTCATTGCCATGTATTGACTCCTTTAGACTAGCTATCTGACTATATTTTTGTTATTTATGGAGTGATGATTGACAAACACATCTTAGATTTGCTAGTCAATTAAATTTGCTAGTCAGTTAAATTGCTAGTGCTGAACTGACTCCCCGAACTCCTACCAGTATTGAATTTGAGTCCATAAAATCACAAAAAAAAATAATGATAAGTTCTCTTTTGCAGTTTCTTTAAATCTATAAATTTTTTAAAGCAAAAATGCCTTATTTCAAGGATTTTCCATTATACATTGTATCTATGTTTGCCTAAGCTAATAATGAAAGCAACATTATGTCGTGCAATATAACTTTGATATAATGAGTAAAAATCTTTTGAAAGCTCATAAAACCATCAACAAAAATAATCAATGCTGCTGAATTCCAAGCCGTAAAACACATGAGTGAGTGAGTGAATGAATGAATGAATGATAACGAAAAAGGAATATGTATAAAACATAAGCATTTTTTAACGATCAAAAACAGACATCATAAAAAATTTACACTAAGAATACACAAAGTGTTTATTTTATCACAACAAATTCAGAAAGTAGAAATAAGAAAATACTGTGTATTATATACAAATGTATTAGGTCAGCTCTTGTTATTAGTAAAATTTATATACTATGTACATAAATTTCAATACGAATAAGAAAAGAGGATTTCATCTTAATTAGTCAAAAATTTCTATAAAGATCATAAAAAAATCTTATCGATTTCCTCCTTTAGGAGCCAGTCTAATGTATAAAGCACTTAAGTACAAATGGCATTCTCATGAAATAAAAAGAAAATGTATTTTTCATTTGGGTCATCAGAAAGATTTTTAAATGTATTCTATGTAACATGTTGGACATAGCATGTCCAACTCTGGTTAAATACTAACTCCCACTTTATATCATTTTGTGAATTTATTTTTATACCCTTCAGTTCAAAATTACGCCCAATATTTAAAAAAGTGTGCCGTTTCGAAATGCTAGAATAATCTCCAAAAATGTGTTATGCACCACTATGCATAGGGAAGAACATTTTATATGTATGTAGTCTTTACAAAATCACATGGAAAAAGTTATTTTATTGTTGGTATAGGTGGTATTAAAATATCGGCGGTAAGAAGTTATGTACATACATAGATGAGAAGAAACACATGTTTTGTAGAAATGTCAAACTTTTTCTTTTTGCAAAATTGAGTGCAAAATAAATCATAAAAAATATTTTTTGATCACATTTTCATTTTTGGTCTAAAAGTCGTCGTCTGAACCATAGTGTACTGTTTAGGAAATTCTACAAATACATATGTACCTATGTATGTATGTATGTACATAATTGGTTAGTTAAAGGTTTGTTACAAGTAAAATTTATTTAAATTCAGTAAAATTTATTCTGTTTTTAACTTCTTTTAACTTTGAATTCTTGCAATGAATTTAGAGGTTTGTATAATTTTATTGTCTAAATTTGTCTTTCTGAATGTTAAAAACTGAAGCAAATCTTTTTTTTTAATTTAATGACCTCCAATCAAATAAAACAGTAAAAAAACACTTTGCCTAAATATTTCATTCCCAGTGAAGAAGTATACGAAATTTTTAAAAATTTCTGGCACGTTTTCCCTTTAAAGAGCTTTTTACAAAACATTTAATTTTCTTTAGCAAATCTTTATTAAAAGGTTATTATTACACCATAGAAAACATTTCCAAACATAAATGACACTAAAATAGAATGGACAAAGTTGTCCCGTTCTTTGTAAGAAATGAAGAAAGAACCTCTTCGTACAAGGGAGGGTTTTTGTAGCATTTGTTAGAGCAATATGTTTGTGTAGAAAAAAGGTAATTTAGAAGATGACAAATGGGCTTTATCATTAAACGAGACTTATTAAAAACTTAACATGATAATACGGGAAGTGATAATTTAAAAATAAGACTCCATTTAATAATGTTTTTATTTAATGTCATTTTTACTAAAGTTAGAAAGAATAATATGCATTCTAACGTTATTAACGTTTATGGCTATAACCGTTTAATATACATATTTGATTTTTCAACCAGGGAAACATCAGAATGTCCTTAAAAATAAGCGCTAATAAATGTGTTAAATATAAAAGCATAAGTAAGTAAAATTTTTTAGATTTATTCGGAGAATTTTTTCGAAGTACATAAGTATGTATGTATGTATATCCATTAAATTTCATGTTTATTAAATTAATACAGTTTTTGGGTCTTACTCTGAAACAATTTTTACATTAGCTGTTTTCTTTTCATACATACATACATTCATATTTATTATGAACACTCAATTTTATTAAAATAAATTACCTTTATGGTCACTATAAAAACTGTCAATTCTTCTGTTTTTGTGTACCATTAGATTCTCATCTACTTAGGTATGTTTCATTTAATGTTTTTAGGTCCAACATTAGAAAAACAAGTACCATTTCATGGAGGAAAAAAGTAGCAAAAAGTTGTGGACCTATTTGAACACATTTAAATAACGAAGCCTTGGTTCAAATGCTTGTATATATGGATGTAGGTGCCTCTACTTTGAACTCAAGGTTTTAAAAGTAGATGTAGAATGTTTCTATTGAGTGTTTCAAACAAACACCAGACCAAATATGTATTAATAATAAAAAACCCCCACCTTTTGTTTATAGCGATATAGGGTATAATAAATAACTAACTCTAACTATCAAACAGACAGTTGTACATATACATACATCCATACAATTTAACCTAACTTTGAGACATTTCTTATCCCTCCTTTTTAGTGTTTGTTTTTGATTAATATGATTTCATAGTGTCAAATGTTTTTCTATAGAGTAAAATAACACAAATGCATAAATAGTAGGGCGACTTTCAATTTAATTTTGTTAAAAAGGTTGAGATCTAATTTTTATGAAGCAGCGTCAAACCATCCACGAACCATGCTTTTGGATTCAATTGAATGATAATTTTTATTTTTGAATCCAACTATTATTAATGCAAAAAATTAATTAAATGAAGTACATATTTATGTATGCTTTTAAATATTACATAATGCTTTTGAATTCTAAAACATTACTACAAATTGAATAACTGAAAAAACAAATACATTCATTCCGTTTCTGGGTCTTCAATATAGAACCCCATTCTTACTTTTTCCACCAATTATGAGCCATCCGTGTAGCAACGGATTTCTACGGGTATTTGCTCTAATGTTCGGCTAGACCAAGACAATCTATCTGGGATCAGTGTTTTGAAGTTTCCGACATATTTTGTGGCATGCGATCGGGTATGTCCGCTGATTGTGTATAGCCTTCAAACGTGTCGCCTAAAGTTATGGGCCGTTCGGCTGTAAGTGCCGCCTGTATATCTTATATATGTATGTCTCAATGGGTTCCCAGAGACCTGGTTGAGGCATTACTCATGGCATCCCTTATACCCAAGCACTTTTTGTCTAAAGAAGCAAAAGCTAGAATTGGTCTAATTACACTTTTATATGGTTCTCTTTTCACTAAATTGACACTATAGAGTTTATAATTTTTCAATAACATTCGTTGTCAAAGTATATACATACGTACGACAAAATGCCACCCTGTGTTACCGCGAAATATCTTTTTCCCGATAGTTAATCATACATCTTGTAGCTTATCCATCTGTTTCTTAGCATGTGGTGGATCAAGCTACGAAGCACGTGGTCAACATAAAGCTTCTCTAAGGATTGGATAAAAGTATCAGTGTGCACGTTATGTACGTTAATGATGCTGTGTACACCACCTTAGGTATTTTAGTGTCCTTGTCGGGCAGCTTTAGAAGCGAAATAAGCCCTACCTTTGTTCTCGGAAGAGTTTTTCCTACGGAATGGCAGATAGGTGGTGGTGACTATCTGCCTTCTCACAGCTATAGTTTATTTCAGCTGAGGGAGGGCAGACGACTGTCCACCACCTGGGAATCTTGCATTCTCCGCGGACCAAAAAATGGAAATAGACGAATAGGGAAATAAAAATGTAACAGTTACAGTGCAGGCCCTAAATAACCCAGTACCGGCGACAGGTGTTGCAATCGTGAGTAACGGAGACCGTTGCGGACAGTGCGTCAAGTGTACAGTACGCCATTGGCAAAAACATAGAAGTGAAATATAAACTCTAATAAGCTCTAAACTACCTCAGCCTTTAAACATATGCGAAAGTTCCAACTCTGAATCCTCAGATGATAATAGCAACAACATCAATCATAGCGAATTCAAAAGGGATGAAATAAAAAGTGTCCTTTAAAATTTACTGAAATAAACATGTCACGTCCGCGTACTAAGCCAACGATGTGTTATCACTGAAATAACCTAACTTCAGTATAGGAATTATAACAAGTAAGAAAGTATAGTCGGGCGTGGCCGACCATATGATACTCTACACCAGTTATGAATATTAAATGTGATTTATTTTTCATAATATCGCATTTATCTTCAATATTCCCTTGTTCCGATACATTTAAGCAATTTATGGATGAAAAACTAATTTTCTGAAAGAGGCTTTATATGGGGGCTAGGGGAAAATATGGGCCAAGCCCGATAAAATTTTGCGAATATATTTATATTTACATAATATTCTATTGTGCTGAATTTCATAGCGATATTTGTGTTTATAAGTTAATTTGGGACATTCAAGTTATTTTCTGAAGGGGACTTTGTATGGGAGCTAGGGTCAAATGGGGCCCGATCTAAATGAAATTTGGCAGGGTTATCAAAACTTCTATAAAACTTAGTTATGCCGTATTTTATCGATATATCTGTATATTTAACATAATTATGAGCTCAGAAGCCCTTTTCGGGGGGTTCTGTTCTATGGGGGCTAGGTGAAATAATGGACCGATTTTAACCATTTTCAATAGGCTTCGTCCTTGGGTCAAATAAAACGTGCGTGCCAAATTTCATTCAATTATCTTGAAAATTGCGATCTGTAGCTTGCGCACAAGGTTTACATGGACAGCCAGCCAGCCAGCCAGACGGACGGACGGACGGACATAGCTTAATCGACTCAGAAAACGATTCTAAGCCGATTGGTATACTTTAAGGTGGGTCTAGGACGAATATTTTTATATGTTACAAACATCAGCACAAATCCAATATACCCTCCCCACTAAAGTGGTGTAGGGTATAAAAATGAAAGATACCTTTTTTGAGATGTCTTTGGCCAAGAACAGGTTTTGAATTTATTATCCTTATATAAAAACAGTACTGAACTATTGTTTTAAGAATTATGAGACTATTAATTCGGGACCAAGATTAATGAAATAGGTAGGATAAGTAGTTTAGAAAATATACGATATTAAAAACTTCATGTTTTTAAGAGAAAAATCTTTAAAAATATGAGGGTTATAGGAAAAATGTGGCCCGATGATTGGCCCATTATTATAACTTGCCAATAACTAAAGTTAGGAATTTATGGATATATTTAGGGCCATTATTACAACTTGCCTTTAATGTTCGTAATAATAAAAGGTAACTTTAATTAAAGTGAGGAATAAAGTGAACTTTAAATATTTCCATTATTACAAAATCATTTTTTATTATACAAAAACCGTTGCATACTTTTAGCCGTTAATAATATTTTTCATATGAAAAATGACATTGAATTTATTTTTCATTCATATTTAAAAAAAATCCTAAAGCTTACATTAAAAGATAAAGGTAAGGTGATCTTCCCGTGAGCCTATCGGACACTTTTAGCTTAAGTTGACTTGTAATAACGAAAAATACATTATCTGTACGATAACTTTCTAACTTTAGTTATTGGCAAGTTATAATAATGGTCCTTAAAGTTCACTTTATTCCTCACTTTAACTAAAGTTACCTTTTACTATAACGAACATTAAAGAAAAGTTGTAATAATGGCCCCTACAGTATAATTTCTAGGTACATAAAACACAATTTGTCTGGCAGCATTATTTGTTTGGAAAACATGTTCTGGTGTGCGGCTTAGCTAAGCTAAGCTGCCTATGACACAAACAAATTGGCAGCACTTTTTCTATTGACCAAGCTGCCACATCATAACAAGTTATGAAAGGTTTATATTACACCGTCCAACAATAATTTTCACACATGAAAAAATCTATGTGTACACGAAACTGTGGACCATTATGCCCCTGTAAAAGGACCTTAAATTTTAAAAGACATACGATTTCAAAAGATCAAAATATTAGCATTATACACATATAAATATTTAAAATATTCGTTTGAAAATGAAAGTCCTGGATGGATAAAGTTTTTGTAGTTCCAAAGATAAAGTGGCATTTTACGAAATTAAAAGCATATGAATTATACACTTATTTAATGTCCTTTACAAAAAACCACCATTGATGTTAATTGTTTATATATTCCTTAAAATAGATAAAGTTTTTTCCAACATAGCTAAATGTTTTCTTATAATTTCAACACATAATTTTGAAGTTCGTTATAAAAAATGAAAATTGTACTTGAGGGACTGAATAAGTTGTTCGTTATAAGCGATTGTGACTGTATCTGAATGATTTTTATGTCGGGATATAGGTAGATATATAATAATTTAAATATAAAGGATTTATAATGTAATCTTAAATATCTTTCGTGTTATCAAATTTGGTATTTTATGTTTATATTATTCGAAAAGGTTTATGAAATGCTTTAGTTAAGAATTTTTTCAAATTTATTTCATTTTGCACGTTTAGTTTTTATATTCATATATAAATTGTTTGATATAATATATATGTATATCAAGTATTATTAGATTCTTTAAAAATACTATCAATTGAAAAAACACTATTCTTGACGTTTCTGGCACAATTGTCAAAATATTTGCAAGCACGCTCACCCCATGTCTATATTAGACAAATATTTATCACTGCACTTGACAAAACGTCGGCAGAAAAATTGTCAGTTTTTTGTTTATGTTAATACATAGGGGTAACAAAACGCTGATTTTATCACGACAACTCACAGATAATTTTATTGAAATAATGCTATATTTTATAAAAACAATTAAAATTAAATGCAAATTTTGTAAATAAACACTAATTTCACTAAAACTAATGTTAAAAATAAATTTTAATTGCACAAAAACAAAATTCTAAACAAATTTTACAATAAAATGACGTTTGTTATCAAGACAACGTTGTCTAAACAATTGTTTAGACAACACTGTCATAACGGCGTTATAACGCTAATAAATGCCGTCTGTACCTGCTAATTTTTTATTATGATAGACACGGGGTCAGAGACTCGCACAACGTCACAGCCGCCGTCGCCGAAAATTTTTCAGCTTTATACGGCTTGAAAATTTCGCCATATTTTGTAATTTTATGGAATTTTATGATATAAAATTAATTTTTTTTTTCATTTAAGCAAGTTTTTTTTATTTAATAATAAGCCGCTCATTGAAATTTGGCCGGTGTAAAACTTTGCTCAACGTTCGGTGTATATGATTCGCCTCAGATATTTTCGTGTTTACGCGCCTAATTCGAGTCGCTGCTTACTTCAAACACTTCAAACAAGAAAGTGTTTGCTACAAACACGAGATACGAAACATACATTGCTGTTTGACAAACCTCTTAAGAGATGTCAATTGATGTCAATTTTTCCGACTGCGAAAAGAAATTCTGCTAGAATTTTTTCGCGCTTATAAGCTGCAGTTACACACCACGCATAATTAATATATTTTGACTTGTTAAATGAAAATACACTATTTCAACTTTTTTGACAGAAGCCCATAACGCGTTGCGCGTACAACGCGTGTTGTGTACTTTCACCTTTAGCCGGTTTACAGTCGATTTTAAGTCGTCGCCGAGATTTTTGTGTCAGTCGCCGCCGCCGATAATATTTGTCGGCGCAGGGTTTAGAGCACGCTACAAAACGGAAAAAGCAATTTTTACACGAAAATTATACAAAACATTTCAGCGAAAATATAAAAAAGAATAATTAAAACGAGTTCATTTATTTTTCTTATACAATTATTACAACTCGAAAAAAGTTACTGTTCCACACTCAGAGCGGTAGGTTGAGACAACAACACCTAATTCCAACACAACGAAAGGAGAAAAAAACAAAAGTAACGCAAAAATGCCGAGTGATACAATTGCCAAAGTATGATAATGATGTTTTGTCGTGGTTAAATAATTTTTGTCCATTTGTTGCTTACAATTTATTATTTTGTTGTAATTTATTTATTATAGGTTCAGGAATATAAAGATTCTCTAATCAAAAAAGCAGAGCAATTAATAATTCAAGGCTTCCCGGAGAAAATTGTCGAACTTAATGAGCTTTTGGATACACCCATGTTCAGTGAACGCAACTTCACTGAAGTTCATCAAGATTTAAACATTCCAATCCCAGATCCAATTGTTGTTAATAATAACGGAGCAAACGCTAATGAAAGCAATGCCGCAACTGCCGAAGACGGAGGTGATGCTGACGAACCATCTGCCAAGAGGCCACGCACTGACAATTCATTAAATTCCGGCACTAAAGTTATGTACTTGCCAAGCGGTAGTGTTCCCTGCAATTCGCCGTTATGCGAGATGATTAAAATCGTTAAACCAATTATACGCAAATTGGTGGAAGATTGTAAGTTTCTAATCAGAAATAGGTACCTAAATGTAAAAACTAATGAGATATGTTTTTACAACAAATTTTGTAACTCATTTTTATAACCGCGGTTATGAATTTATCTCTTAAAATTCTATTGGAGAAGTTCTCGTGCGAAGGGTATATGTATATAAGTTTGTCTTCCGGTTTGTAATTTTTACAATTAATTAATTATTCGATTCCATGATACAACCATAGAAAGGTAGAATCAGTGGGGAGAGTTGTCAATTCTTTGCCTTGTTAAGTAAAACAAAGAAGAACTAAAAAGAGAAAAACTTCAAAATCTTCAAATGAAAAACCACGAAAAATACCATGAAATGATTCTTGAACGGCACACGCAAACAGCATTCTACACTTCTGTATCCTGTTTTTGATTTTGACTCGTTTTGCGATGTTTTTTATTCAAATTATAAAATTATTATGATTCGCTCCCATAAAATATTTATATGTAATTTGAATATATAGATATAGTGGTGTCCCTTTTTGCTATGTAGTCTGCCACACATCACAAATATCTCATATATTATACGTCGTACACGTTTTAATGTTATTATAACTTCTATAGAGAGTTAAATTTTCAACATCTTAGTTAAATATTTTTGCATGCAATTAGTTTTTTTCGAGCTGAAGTACATTTATTTCAAATCTTAATATTTTTAACGCCGATACAAGTTATGTCGCAATAATTGTTTGTAATAAAAGCTAAAGATACATCATTAATTTCTGTTATATCTCTTATCTGAAAAATGGGAAAACAATGCACTTTAGCTCGAACACAACTAATATATGTGCATATATAAAAATTAAAATAACATCAAAACGCGTAAAACGCATCATAATAAGCGATATATTCGCTAAAACCTAAGGAGAAGCTATGTGTCAATTTTAATTATTCTCATTTTAGCCTAATTATAATTAGAAAAATAATGAATTAAATATGAAAAATTAGTAATGAATTTGAAAATATAAAGACAGTTAACTTGATACCCATGTTGTATTAAAATAGCATAAAACGATTTTAAAAATGAAGAAAGTCTTCATTAATAGATTTTTCGAGAGTAAAGTTACAATAAGATTAAAAAGAATGGCACAAATTGCTATTTTTTTTTTAATAAAAATATACTCCTTGCAGTAATAAGATTATCCTATTTTCCTTCCTTTAATATTGATTTAAACATTAATATGTCAAAAATTGCTTATAAACCAAGATTTATTATTAGGAGAGAAAACTGAATTTTCCATAAGGCGCGATATCGAATACAAATGTTGCGTACAAACTAATGTCTTCCATTGTATTAAAATAAGTTTAAAAACAGGCCGTTTAGGGTCGTAAATTTTTGTAGCATCAAACATTATTGAGTAAAACAACATACATTTCCATATAATTTTTATATTTTAGCTAATCTCCTCAAGATGTGGATTTCATTTATGATTCCTAAAATTGAAGATGGCAATAATTTTGGTGTTTCAATCCAAGAGGACACATTGGCTGAAATTCAAACTGTTGAATCTGAAGCGGCAGCGTTTTTCGATCAAATATCCCGCTATTTCCTATCAAGAGCTAAGGTAGTTTCAAAAGTGGCCAAATATCCCCATATTGACGATTACAGACGTGCAGTCATTGAATTAGACGAGAAGGAGTATTTAAGCCTGTGGTTAGTTGTCTGTGAAGTACGAAATCGGTATTCATCTCTACACGATATTGTTATTAAAAACATGGAAAAACTTAAAAAGCCACGTTCCTCAAATGCCGAAAGTCTTTACTAACTATGCTGTATGCAATTCGATGGATGAAGTAAACAAATCTATGGAAGCTCGTAAAAATATTCTCAAACTCTGTGTATAACCAAGAGATCAAAGATTGAGGATTCTACATTAAACTCGTAAGAAGATATAAAACCCAACATGAAAGAAATACAGTTCTTTACAACTTTTAGTTTTAATAAAATTAAACAATATTTTCTTCAATTTAATTACAAACAAAACGAAAAATAAATTCAACATTTTAATTTTTTCCATCTTCTCCAGAATGTATTAATTGTTTATTATAATTTGTCAAGTTAAATTTGGGTCCACAATAATAGTTACCAAAAATACAAAAGGTTTTACATTAAAATTAAAGAATTTTGTTTGAATAAAATAGGAGGCTGAAGGATTTTGATGATCAGCATCTTGATCAAACTTTTCATTTTTAATTTGTTGATACATACATAGTGGAAGATTAAATGTTAAATTAGTGTCAGAATGTTGATGAATTTTATAAATTATGTTTTAGATCAAATATATTAATGCTGTGCTGTATTGCTAAATATATTGTTAAAATGTTGCGATATTTACATATTATCTAGCTCTACTTTTAAAATACACCTTACGGAATTTTCTAAATAATATATGAACTAAAAATATTAAAAAATACTAAGTTTGGTTAATTCGTACTCGTAATTTTCTTTAACAATATATTCTCGTTAAATTTTTTAGGTATTTCTAAAGTATTTCTGTCAATAGTCCTCCATTAACGTTTGCTGATCCAAAAAAAGATTATTTCGGGCGACCCCCTTTCAGCCTTATTATTTTTCCTTAGATAGAAATTAATAATTACTATTCATTAAAATTTTTCAAAATAACTTTTTTTCATCTTTTTTGAAAAAACCCGCTTAAATGTTTTTTTTACAGTAAAACGGGTTTTAAAACAACCTGTTTATTGTATATTTACAAATTAAATTTGTGACAAAAATGTCTGTTTCAGCTAAACTTTGATGATTTATTAACAAGGTAGAATATTTTGTGAAAGTAACCGTAAAGGCTGCCACATCCTTAGAAGGATGTAAGTACACATAAAAGCATAATTTGTTTCATTAAAAATAATATTAATCTATGAATCAATCATCTTTTTTCGTATTTGTTATCTATTCGATCAATATTGGAAACTAAACCATATAAGTCCCTTTTATTGTTGTATTTTAATGATTTTATTTACATTGCGGGATGTTCGTAGTATGTTCTCCATTATGTAACACAATGAGACAAAATAAATTAAAATAGAAATACTTCGGAAGTGATATTATTTTTCTGAATGGTGGATCAGAGTAGAACAAGAATTTGTTTTTGTTATTTGAAAGAAGAAGCTGAGGTCTTTATAATGACATACTTATGTATATGATTTTTAAGTAACCTGAAGAATAATATGTGCATTTCATCAACAAACATATCTTTGATTAAAGTTTTGCACCGTAATTTATAAATTGATATTTTTCTTAATACAAAAAAACTGATTTATTGAAAATATAGGCCGATCCCCATTAAATTTGGTGTTTATATAAAAGTTATTTATGCTGAATTTCATCGTGATATTAATATAACAAGAGAATCAAGGATTTGGAGTCATTTGCTGAAGGAGGATTTGCATGGGTGCTAGGGTCAAATAAGATCCGATCAATAAAAATCGATATAAATGAGTTTGCTATAATCCTAAGTCATACTGCTGATTCATTCAATAATACGGACTTATTTGTCCCTAGTCCCCATGCAATACCTCTTTCAGAAAATGACTTGAATTCCATAATTATCTTATTAATATTAATATCACGATGGAATTCAGCATAAATAACTTTTGTATAAATGTAAATTCATTCACCAAATTTTATGAGGATCGGCCCATATTTAACACTATCGCCCATATAAAGCATCTTTCAGAAAGTTAGTTTTTGAACAATTTTGTATTAAGAAAAAGATCAATAACGTAGTCAATTGCTAACGGATTTTTAAAAACAATGTTGCGTTTGTACATGATTAACATTTGGATGAAATTGGTACCAATGTTAGTACTATTAAATAGTAGACCAGACACAAATTTTCAGCTCTATCCGTCCAGAACTGCCGGACTTAGAGGGGGCAAAGTTGGACATTTTGGTCATTAAATCGGTTAAAATTTTTTTTGTATGAAACTATCAATTCAACCTTAAGATAAAATATAGCCGGACATTGAGATATTTTAATTCATCACATTTGAAATTATTTGTCATAAATCTGTAATAATGAAAATGCAGCAATAATATGTTTTTGTTTATTAAATAAATTTATTTTTATGTTTTTTTTTTTACCAAGTAAAAGTGAAACATACTATTTTTTAATTATATTACAATTAAATCAGTGCTTAAATAAAAGAAACAACATAATAATTTACATATAACTTATGTAGATAAAAAAGTAGATTAAAATAGCAACAAGGAAGGTGCTTTTTATATTAAGTAAATTAGTTAATCTAAATAAATTATAAAACATAAAAAGACACTTTGAATTTCACTTAAGGTTAATATTTACAAACATTAAACAGGCATTTAAATTATTTAACTTAATATTGGATTGTTATTTATTTTTGTTTTGTTTTTTGTTGGACATAAAACTACCGCAACACATATTTTCAAAATATTTAATATTAATGTTTGTTTTATAAAAGATTTTAATTTAATTAATTTATATAATATGTTTAGTTATTTATATTACACATATAAATAATATGTCCGTATGTAATACTTGCATTACATTTTCACAAGAAACAAATTGAAGTACGGTTTATACATACACGGTATATACAAATTTGGGTATTCTCGTATTTTAATATACAATTTTGCAGTTTTTATGTTGTAATAATCTTCAATTTCGAGTAAAAGTTAATAATATTTGCTAACACTCCTGTAAAAAATAAAAAAATTTAGGGAACTAATGTTTAAAGAAAATAATAAACTATGAAAATACATAAATTCAAATCTGTTGAATGATTCGAAAATAATTATAATTATGTGATCTCAACTGCATAATTCTTTATTATTTATATCAATTCGAAAAATATTTATTTTTTTATTAAATATAATATTATTAAATAATATAAGAAATTCCTATGGGGCAGTTTAAGGGTAATTTGTTTTACATAAAAATACATTGTAAATAAATTATAAAATATCTACAACTTTAAAAGCTTGAATTTGTTTAAATTAAATTTAAATGCAGAAACACAATCGGAATAAATCGAAGCATTAAGACATTGCTTTGGTAAAGCAGTATAGATTACAATATAGGAGATAAGTAAATATTTTTATCGATAAAAATTTCGTATTATTGAAATTTCGAGCTGCCACTGTTCAGTCAATATCAATCAATATGTATGTATGTGCTTCAAACTTATATTATTTCTACAATACGTTTTTAAATTAAAGAATTTAAGTTTAAGCCTTCTATAATTACAAAAAACTAAACTAGATTATTACATTTGAATTATGAAGTAAAACCTTTATGTAAAAATGGCACTGAATTAATTAATTTGTGTGTTCCCTACTTCTTAAATTTTTTACATACATATTTAAACGTCGCAGTCCATCGTTCCGAGTTCTGCAATCGGTTCAATATCTTTTTCAAAAGCTAAAAAAATATAAACTTTGAATGAAATTTGCTGTATATCTCTAATTAGTCGCAGGCAGATGATGTACAGATAAGTATGTATATAATTTATTTCGATTTCTATAAGTAAAATTGTTTGTTTTTAGCGCAAAGTGCCCCAATCAATGACGCAGGCCTCATCAATGTTTGTATCACAAATATTGTAGTAATAGTTGTTGTTATTAGTGGTACTGGTATTGTTATTGTTATTATTGTTGTTGATTTGATTAAAATTATTTTCATAATCAATATTATCACTAGTAGTCGTAGTCGTAGTAGTAGTTTTGCCAAAGCATTTTTTGGGTGGCTTAGGCGTTGAGTGTTTTTGTTGTTGCAATAGGTCCCACCCAACAGTCCCTTGTTGTTAGAAAACTCGTTGGTTGTTTTTAGAATTTAAAAAAGGCTTTTCTTCATTCATCTTTTCTAAATTACCACTCAATGTGGGATCAGGTCTTCTTCTCTTGAAAAATCCACACTTCCACATGGCATAGGTGAAGAGGGCCAAGACCAGCAGACCTCCAATAATGGCTAGAATTATAATCCACAAAGGAAGTGAAGTGTCTCTCTGTTGATCTATTAATTCTGGATATGCCCTTGTTTCCACCTGTAAAATATATCAAAATATAAGTTGTATAAATGCTTATATAAAGATAGAAGAAATTTGGTGGTTTGATAAAGTTGTGTTTACTTACCAGGATTGGTTCCACTGTTCGCTTCTGTTCCACTCTAAATTCAAGAGGAATTTGTACATGAGCTGTCGATATAATTCTTACTGCATCTGCCCTTGGATGTTCGGAGACAAGAGTTGAATTCCAGAGTCTTGCTTTAACATACACATAGATTTCAGCACCTGGTGGCACATTGTAAACTTCGCATTGTATTTTAATACAATTTGCTGTGGCTTTGTTACAATCCAGTTCGACTATATCCCTTTTTTTGTTCTTATTATCTCTTATGTCCATAAATCTTTCTGGTCGTATGATTCTCGTTAATGTGTCCCTTCTCAGGCGATTTAAGGATGAAGTTTCTTCAGTGTTTACCTGTTTGCTATATGAGGACTTTTCCATGAAACTTCGGTGCCCAAAGTGGGACTTATTCATTGGTCTCATCATAAAGGGTGCTGGTCCTAAGAGAAGATCATCAACAATGTGACTTGATTTCGATTTGGTTGTTAGTTTTAATGGATTAATATATTCTGATGGCACAAAACATTCTCCTTGTCGAGCGTTTTCAATTACTGGCATTTCTTCCAAATAGAAGAGCCATTTATCCCGTTTGTCCTTTTCACTGAAAACCTGATAAGGCCAATAAATTGTCAATTGAACTTTCGGAGCCTTCCAAGGTCCTTCATTATAGATCTAGAAAATATAAATAAATATGCGATTGATGTTTGGTAAAGATAATTATTTGTACAAGTTTTCGCAAAAGCTTACCTGATACGTATGTATTAATTGTGAACCAACATCTTCCATTTGCATCATGGAATTATCGAGCTTAACTTCGCCACTATAGAAACTCTGTTCTGGTCTAGCCCAACCCTGTAAAGTTAACTGGGCTCTCTTTACCACATGAACGTCTAATTGCACTTCTGGTTTGCGTTCACCAATTAATTTGGAAGTCGTATTAGCAAATATATTAAAAGTTAATTGGCGCTCATCAAGTTCTAGTCCGCTAGGATCAAAACGTATTGAAACTTGAGCTGCTGTACCTCTTCGCATGGGATTACCCAGACTACAAGCAACTACCGTTTCGTTGTAGCGATTGCAAATTGCGGTGCTCTGGAAGGTTTAATACAAACGATAAATAGTTGTATACTTGATAAACATCATAAACTTACTGTTTTTATAGCAGCTATATAAGATACACTTTTTTGGTGTACAACAAAAACTTGTGTCTCGTATGCAGAATCTGCTGAATTGGATACATTAATATTTACACGAATTTCTTCTTGATTACCTAATATCAAGGCATAGTTTTCATCTGCAAATTAGAAGTAAAAAATTAAATGCCTTCAATGGAATTTTATTAACTAGTAGTGAGTCACTTACTCTCCATATTTAGATCAATTTCGGCAGTGAGTTGCAAATTACTCTCGCAAATGTCGTCATCTCCACAATCTTTCTGGAATGTGCCTTCAAATTCGATATTAGCCTGAGTTTGATCTAGTATCGGGTTTAAGGATATCAGTGCCGAATCCGGTAGTTTTGATTCAACCAGAGTATAGTTTAATCTTAACTTAATGGGGCTTTGAATGTCACGTGTATTTTCTTTTATATACCCAGTAACTCTTTGGCAGGAAAGACGTCCATCGGTACGAACGGTAACTTCTCGTTTGATAACATTGCTTCTCTTGTTATCGCGATCAAAGAATACTCGAGAAAACTTTTTATTAGGCGCAAATGTTTCAGCTTCCACAGTGTACATCAGTTTAAGATCTTTGTTAGCAGAAGCCTGCTCATATGGATCAATTGAACAACATGCTTCAAAGGTAAAACAGGTCAGATTGGTAAAGTGATCTGTACTGCACCCTGGCTTAGTGGGATCAATATTTTTCATTTCATTACTTCTCCATTTAGTTTGTATACTAATAATTGGACGAGACAGCAATGCTACTACTGCAGATGAATTATATGCTCCTACAACAATATCGGGATATGAATTTCCATCTAAATCGGTGCCACCGGTTATTGAGCTGCCAAATGTTTTAATGGGTCTGGGAAGCAGTCCCAAATCATTCGACTGAATGCGCTGCGACGGTTTGCTATTTAAACCATTTCTACTTCCCAAATAAATATAAACAACTCCATCGTCCTCATATGGTGCTCCAATAGCTAAGTCCTCGCAATTATCTTTATTTATGTCACCTATATTGGCAAGAGCTAAACCAAAACGGCTTTCAAATGATCCTGTCAATTTGAGTGTTGGCTTATATGGTAAGTTGTCTTTAGCATTTTGATAGATGTATACAGCACCGCCTTCGCTTTTGTTGAAGTAGAAAGGCGCTGCGACTATTAGATCAGGTTTCTGGTCACCGTTGATGTCAGCCGTGGTCAATTCGTATCCAAAGCTAGATGCGAATTGTTCACCTTCAATGATCATGTGCACTGGTATGGGATTTCTATTGTCTTTATCGAATATTATAACTTGACCGTGACCATTTGAACGTGGTGCTCCAGCAGCATACGACATTCGTTCGCCAAAGTAACGACCTCCCGTCACAGCCATGCCTAAATAACTGTATTTGTCGACGGGCGAAGATGTGTCCGAATGATCACCATAATACATATTTTTATCGCGTTCCAAGTATTCGCCACCAATTTCCGTAACGAAAACAGTACCCCGCCATGTAAAGGGGCCGGGAGTACCTAAGACCATAGTGTTATCGTCCAACAGTGCCCCCGAAGTGCCCACCTGACAAAAGCCATAATCTTCATGGGCTCTAAGAAATATAACATGAAACATGTATTATTATTTGTGAGTGATTTAAATTAAGTTTTTTTTTAATTTTGTTCTGTTTTTCTCGAACCGAAAAAAATGTCCATATACAAATTTTAATATAATTTAATTTTAAGGCCTTATTCATAAACAAACTTATATTTTATAAATGAAAATTTGTTTTATAAACCCTTTATAAAATAAAAATCTGTTTATGAATATGTGGGTTAGTTTATAAAAGTTTGTATTTTTATTTTAATACATCTAATAATTGGATAATTCTAAAAACTTAAAATGTACTAATGTTAAAATTGTACAAACCTTTGAACAGTTCGGCCTTTACATGGTTCATAAACTTCATCGTAACTCAATTCATTGGTTAAAACATAACAGAGTCCTTGACCATAACGATTTTCGCGCACTTTTGTTATGTAGCGATGAGCACAGACTAAAACCTAAAAAAACATAAAAAACAAGAGTTAAATTTGCTAGTTTTAAATATCCTTCACCATCAAATATACAGCACACTTTAGTAGTTAAACAGATTTCTAGCTTTTTGAAAATTTACTAATTTGGTTAAATTGTTAATATTCATACATAATATGTCCATGTCTATATTATGGTTCATGTACATATATATATACATATATATATGTAAGTAGGTACAGAACGTATTACCCATGGCATAATAACGGTAATGCAGCTGATTATTTTTTATTTTTGTGTAGAGTATGCTTTCTGTCAAAAGTTGTTATTGTTTATATGTTATGTTGTTTACATTTAATATGATAGTAAGCTAATTCTGGTACAAAGACAAAATACCTCTTGTTATACCCTACACCACTTTAGTGGGAAGAATATATTGGGTTTGTGCTGATGTTTGTAACGCACAAAAATATTCACCCTACACCCACCTTAAATTAAATTAATTAATCGATTTAGCTAGTATGTCTGTCCGTCTGTGCGTCCATGTAAACCTTGTAATCAGACTCAAGATAATTTGATGAAATTTGGCACATACGTTTCTCGATCCAAGGGCGAGATCAATTGAAAATGGTCAAAATCGGTTCATTATTTCACCTAGCCCCCATACAATCGTACCCCCCAAAAAGGGCTTTTGAGCCCATAATTATGTTAAAAGTTCTAGTATCTCTACAAAAATCAGTAAGACTTTGTTTTATATAAGTCTAAATGATGTTGCCGATTTTCGTAATGATCGGGCCTTATTTGGCCCTAGCGGCCACACAAAGTCCCCTTTACAAAATGACTTGAACATCAAAACACTAGTATTACAATGAAAATCTGCATAATTAACTTTAATGTTAACGTAAATCCCTCTATTAAAATTTATAAGGATAGGCCCATATTTAACCTTGCCCCCATAAAATCTCTTCTATAAAATCACTTTTTTTGTCAACAAATTGTTAAAATATTTCGGAATTAAGCTAAAAACTATTTAAATACTCTATTATTAAAATTAATCCTAATAATAAAACATACACACTGTACATTCTCACTTGTATCACTTTTGTATGTGATGCAGTCGCCTATCTAAATCTGCCAGGTATTACCTATCTAAAAAAAATTTATGTACATATATGTATCATAAAATCAAAGTACATAGTTCATTTTGCTAATTTTTAACATTAATAAGTATTTGGGAATGTATTCTGTAAACGATATCTGAAAATAATTTTGGCATAATTCTGATTTCAGAAACAACATTTTTGAAATTATTTTAGTATTGCAGTAAATCGTGGTAGTATTGATCATGGTGAAGGATATGATCGAAAACTCACCTTGCCTCCCAAACCTTGACTGCGAACTGTAACGCCCAGCCATTGGTCCTCTTTGATTTCATCATATGATGGTTCGGCCAATTCCTCAATATCATCGCTATCGAATGCTATTTTCAATTTGAAGGATAAAAGAAATAAATTTAGATATTTAAATAACTAGCAAATTCAGGAGAATTTCATTAAAGAAAAATAATGATTTTTTAACATTTACACAACATTGATGAATCAAAAATAAAAACAATTAGATTACGTTATTATGTTATGTATGTATGTGTGTGTTCTTCATTTATATGTTTTATTTACAATATTAATTAAAATTTAATAAGTAATTAGTTTTTTTTATTATTAAATTGCAATTGTGTGTATCGTGGGTATATATGTATGTGTTGTTGTACATGTGATTGTTTAGATTTTCATTTTATTCCATTTACAAAATTAACATACATTCTTGTTTCATTTTGATCAATACAGTCAAATGTAAAATGTGCATAAACAAAAGATAAATAAATATTTAATTATTTTACAAATACATTCACAATGATTGTTTACATATGTACATTAGTTTTATTTTAAATTATGGTATTGTTTATTTGAAATACGCAGGTGCAAAGTTTTACAAATGAACAGTAGAAGTTGTATAAGTATAGTCTATTTGTATGCGATATTAGATAATATTTTAATATTATTATAGTAATAGTATAACTATATATACCTACATATGTATGCTAGTACCAGCTTATAAATAATTTTCTACATTAATATTTTATATATGTATATATTTATATACATTATCCCTACCACTTATTTTGGAGGGATATCTCGTAAACGACACGTTTAAATATAAAAAGCGAATGTAATATGCCTCTCAACCTAAAACTTATTTTCTGGACCAAAAATACCGTAAAACTAATTTACAATTAATTTTCCCGTAATCAGCTCAAAATGATGGAATTTTTAGGACCTAAGATCAAAATTTTCTATCTCTGGCTTTGAACTGAGTTCCCTTTCAAAAAAAATATTTTTCAACTTAGTTAGAAAATCATAAGAGTATCTATTTTATAATTTTAGGATTTGCAAACCTTCTAAGAACTTATACCGCTATTCTAAAAATGATCAATGAATAATTATGCACTTTTTCTGTACAATATTACTACTATTATAAATAATTGATTGGTTATCATAGAGTTTTGTTATACCCATCATCAAAAAGATTGGGTATATTAATTTTGTAATTTCTTTTGTAACATTTCGAAATATTGATAGTACTTAGAACCACAAAAGTATATATTCAGGATGCTTATTAAATTTTAAGACGATCTAGTCCGACCGTCTTTCCGCAAGCACAAAACGAGAGAAGCTAGAGAGTTGAAATATTTCATAAATATCTATTTATTTTGTTCCAGTTGGCTGTAGTTAGGCAAACACAAAGAAATCTGATGACAATGTTATGTTCGAAAATTCGAAGTTTTTTGTAAAACTTTTACATTTTAAGAACATTTTGTACATTTTAAGACCATATTTTGAGATATTTATTGCATATTTAATGTTATTATTTTTGATTCCCTGTATATTACTTTCATAAAAAATTTATTTTGGAAAAGGTACCATTAAGACAAAAACCCAACCCAGGTATTTAAATGTTGCTTTAATAAGAATATGTACATTAGAGGTGCCTAAAAAATATCGATTGTGTTTGGATGGGCCTTATTTTGTTCATTAGTGCCTAAAACTAATTGATGCTAAATTTAAGTTCAATCGAATAACGAGAATACCTGCCTGAAATCGATGAAAAGTGTCAAATTTTGCAAATAAGTTTTCTGCTCAGGTATCCGTTACCCGATTTGACTAAAATATTACACCAGTTAGTTTCAGACGCTAATGAACAAAATGAGACCGATCCAAGCAAAACTCACAATTTTTAAGGCAGCTCTAATGTACATAGTAAGTAACAAAGAATTCCATGAAAGCTGACACCCAGAGCAAGAACACGAACTTCTCTCAATCCACCACACAAACATCATAAACTACAGTATGGTGGATGCAAAAATGATTACTTAAATGACAATTTTGCTCTGAATGCTATAATTTTTTGTTTATTATATATATTAACATATATGTATGTACATATGTATTTATTTATTTTTTGTAGGGTCCCTTTTTATTTGTCTCACTTAATGTGTCTGATTTTGTTCAATGCCAAGGCAGAATTGTTGAAGTTTGTGCAAGAAAGACTTGAACAATACTGCCTGTTTAATGCATGATCACTTTGCTGTTATTAAAATGTGTTTTTATTTTCATAAAATTTGTTTTTTGTTAAAAAGTCCATTCACATTTCGATTCTTGTTCTTTAATAAAAAAAATGTATTTAATTTTATTTTAACTTATGAAGGTTAAAATTGAAACAAATACTTCGTTATTTGTGTAATTATAAATGTGTATTACTGAATTTGTGCAATTTAAAATGTATGCCATTAGTGCAGACAGAAACAAGAAGTTGCGATTCAGTTTTTTTTTACTTTTTGCATATCAAATTAAGAGCTTACATAGCAAAATATTTATAAATGTTTGCAAATAAATTCAACAAACTGCAGAAACCTGTCACTACTGTGTTTTTTAATTGAACCAAACTACAGTAACACATTCGGTTAAGTGGGGATTACATTATACGCATGATTTTTAATGTTTTGCCAAAATCTTTTTCTAAAAGAAAATAATGACTTTTTTTGTTTATTTATGAAAAAATTAGTTTTTAACTCAAGATTCTTCCAAATCGATTTTTTGAGTTGAAAATCGAATAAATTTACAAGAACATTTAAAACTCGATACATACATATGTATATAGAGAAGTTTTTCTAATTGCATTGTAAAAACAAAAATAAATCAAAACTTATGGAAATCCCAGCTAAACCAATGGACGGATGATTTCGAAAAGCTGGAATTTTCTTCCTGTGTATAAAAAAACCTTAAAAAACTTATGTGCAAACATTTAAAGATTTTTTTGTGCACCCAGAAGCGACAACTGTTGAATTGCATTTTTATATACATACATACATATACATGTATTAATATATATGATTAAAATGCATGCATCCAGTATGTATGTACAAATGTGTATATGCATAAACAAGTAATCGATTCAAACAATTGAACCCAGTAGGTCAAATTGTATTAACATAAGGCGATAATGTAACATAACAGCACATTATCCTCTACGTCTCGACGGTTGGTACAACTGATTTCAAATTGTTTGGCTCGAGTACTTTTTATCAAAATTATCGAAAAGTTCTGAAATTTTGACTATATATTTTAATGCCTTCGAATACTGTAAAATAATAAACATCTGCATTTATGTTGAAATTTATCATTGGACTTTTTTTCGAAAATAAATTTTTTAGTGATATTTTGAAAACGTGACCAATTGGGTATTTTCGTTTAAACTTACATACAAACTAGTACTAAAAATTTATTACCTCGTTTGGACATGAAAAAAGCTTAATATTCGAATGAAATAAGTGAGGGTATGAATGAATCCACAAAGATGGAGTGAATGGAGGGAGCTGCATTTACGGAGAGTTTTAGTTTTGCATATTTTGTTTGCGCATTTGAATTGAAAATTTATGAACTGTATTCAGTTGTTTACACAGCTTATACTCGAATATTCATATTTATGTACATATGTATGTATGTACATTAGGATGGCCACGTTCGTATAGAGAAAAAATAAGATGATACGATGTTCCTACCGAAAATGAAAGTTTTTTTAAGATATACCCAAACAAAAATTTTATTTTTTTAAAACTACGCAATTTTTGAGACCCATTTTGAAAAGATTGCAGAAAATGTTCTTTTTTTGCTTTTTAATTTTTTTTATTTTTCTCTTGTTTAGTACATTGATGGACAGGAAGGGGTAACAACCAAAAAATTTTAAATCTTGTAAAGAAATATCGTTTTTATAGCAACATTAGTTTGTATTTTATTCAGTTTTTTATCTCTCCTGTAAAATTTTTAAAAGTATTGTTACGACCTTTTGCATTTCATGTGACGATATGTATATATTGGGATTCACTACATTCTCAACAAAATTAGGGAGATAACTTTTGGATGATAACTGATTGTTGAAATATTAATTATTACTTCTGGTCCATATATTTTTTTATAAAAATTTTATATATGTATGTATGTAGATGATTCCTTTCACATTTGCACATTCTTCGATATATAAATAAATAAATAAAAAATACGTTTCAGTAGTATTTTACCCTTCACAGAACAAAGTAGATTCATTATTGAATTGTTTAGATTTATAAAATGTATACAATCGACTCAGATTTTTTTATTTTATTTTATACAAAATTCTCACATTCTTTAATATTTTCATTCCATCATATTTTTACTTCAACGAATATCATATATGTAATGTGGGAAACATTCACTTATACATAATATACATACAGTAAATGAAAATACATACATATGTATGTATGTGTGTATGTCTGTATGTATGTAAATTTTGTTTAAATTTGTTCCATACTTTAAAGTTGCTATTTAAGAATCAGAGCAGAAATGTGCACTAGTTGCATAGTTATGCGTCTACATATTTACTGCAATTTGTATATTACTTGGCATCATTCCATAAAAATGTGACAAATTAAAATGAATTTAAAAATAAATATATTTATTTGTGTCTAGAAATTAAATACGATTTAATCAAACAAAAAACAAAGAATTAGTTACAAAAAATAAAATTAAGAAGCCACTACTGTTATTGAAAAATAAAACTAAAATTAAAAAATTAATTATTTACAAAAATAAATAAATCATGCTTAATATTTAGTTGATGAGAATCGTTTCAGAAAGTGCGTAAGGTGTTAAAAACTGAAAAAATATCAACATTTTTATTAAATAATTTTTCGGGGTTAATTATGAAAAACAAATAAAGCACCCATACCACTTACTAGGTTCATAGACTCCTTCAGGCGCTACGAAATTTTAGAATAAATTTTAGATCACATTTTGTTTTCATGTTCGTAACACAAACATGTTTTTTTAATTTGTATTATTTTTAGCGATTTTAGTATTTTTGTAGCAATTGTAATTAATTGTATGAAGAGATCCATTAAATACCAAGTATTTTTTGTATGTAGAAGTTTTCATATAAAAAAATTAATATAAAACAAAATTAAAACCAAAAAGAAGAGAAAAAAAAAAGAAAAAATAACATGAAATAATATGGTTTAAAATTTAAATAACAATAAATTAAGAAAATTTAAGCAATTTTAGCAAAAAAATTTGGGCTAAGTTAACATTTGTTGAGCGTTACAGCCAATGTAAAAATGTAATTAATTGTATTTTATTGTTTTATAATTTTGAAAAAAAAATTGCTAAAATTTACTTTAAATAAAATTTAGAAGTAAATTAATACAATTTGTAAAATATTTTTAATTGTATTATTTACACATGGAAACTAAGTTATAAAGTAATAATATACGTATAATATATTGAAACTACCTAATATTTATATAAATTTAGTCACAAATACTAAACTAAACAAAAAAATTAATATTTTAAGGATTTTGTTTACATAAATTCTCAAAGGTAAGGTTTCTAAAGCAAAAAAGGAAAACATTTCTAACTACTTAATAATAAATTGACAAATATTTATATGTATATTATAATAATTATAAGTAAAGATTATTTACAAAATCTTTTTAACAACGAACAATAAAATAAATATTAATAATACTAGCACGATCTGATATAGTCGCCATTTTATCGAGCCTTAATTACATTTGTATTCTTAGTAGTTTTTATTTAATTAGCTAAATTAAAAAAAGTCCAGTATCTAAGTCACAGCTTTTATTTATTATTAATTATTATTAAATACTCCAAACCGCTTAAATAAATATTTTTAAATTCCTTCACCTAAATATCCGATATGATGCAGGGATGGAAATTAGACCAGAAACCACATTTGATGATGAAATATTAGATAATCGACTTATAGAGTTTATTTTTTATTGAATTAAAGTGAAAATTTGTTGAAATATTCATTATTTTAATTTTTGTTTTTACTCATAAATATAAGGTTTCTGGAAACTATCCACCCCAGTTCTAACAGTGTTTATAATTAATTTAAAGATTAGATTTCTAGTAAATAAATTTCTAGAAAATATACTTACATCTTCGTCCATCTGTAATTATCTGTTCACAATCATCAATATTTTGCGTAATGGGACATTTATATAAAGCACCGGAATGATTTGTACCAGGTTGTAAATTTTTATCTAAAGGTGCTCCAACCAGAAGCCTAAAATAAAAAAAAAAATTAAAAAAAATACATTATTAGCACTCATTACATTCAATACAAAAACAACTCATTTACTTCAATATGCGGGGTTACTAAACTGAATACCCCAAAAATAACTCAAAATATTTAAGATTTAATGGTTTTAAAGTTAAGAAACTATTGAAGTAGACGATTGCTATGTTCATAAAATTATGTACTCGAAAAATATACATATTTTTATTACATTCTCGTTTTGTACTAAAAAAGCCAAAATAAAAACAAAAAACCCACTTGAAGCTATTGAGATAAAACCAAATAAATAAGTTCAAATAAAATACATATGTATATATGTGTATGTATATATACATGCATATTAATTTATTTTCATCTATGAGAAATGCAAAACACTTGCATAAACTTAAACGAGTTTTGTTTCTGTATTTGTTGGGGTTTTATTTGGGCGTATGGTTAGTACTTTTAATCTAAGAGCATGAATGGCCAATGCACTTTTGACAGTTGCCAAACATCATTGAGCGTATGCCACTCAATTGTCAGACAGAAATTTAAAAAGGAATTCCTTACCCAATCATTTGTACAAAATTAAGGGCATTTTTAAAAATTATATACAAGCATGTTATTTCTAAATACTTACACACTTAAATACTTTAAAATTTAAACATTTTCCCAAAGTAAAGATTAAAATAATATTAAAATTTTGAAACTATTGATCGTTTTGAACCTGTTATCAATATTGTAGATCTTGCAAAAAAGCAAGTCAGTTTTTTTTATGTTATTTCTTTAATGGGTTGAAAATTTAATTGACGACGCCTAAAAATTCCTGTTGGCGATTCACAACTCCAACTTTTTTGTGACTAAAACTCTACAAAATATATGTATGTATGTTTCCACGTAGTTTTAAATCAATGCAGATTTCATTCGTAATCAAAAAACACAGAATAATTTATTTATAAAAAATTTATATTTGCATTCCAAACTAAAAATTGACACACGTTTTAACGCATCATGTTTCTAAAATGACATTCATACAAACATACATACATACACACACACATACATACATACATACATACATACATACATACACATACATACATACATACATACATACATACATACATACATACATACATACATACATACATACATACATACATACATACATACATACATACATACATACATACATACATACATACATACATACATACATACATACATACATACATACATACATACATACATACATACATACACAAATATATAATTGGAGTCGTAATAATATACAAAAAAAGTACTTTAATGCAACACTTTTAATACAAACAACACTCTCATAATCCATTCTTTAAATCTTCCCAAAAGAACATTAAAATAAACCAACGCAAACACTAAAACTGATTTACACAAACGTGACATGAACTGAACTTCTCAAGAGTAAAAAGAAATCAACCATAAATCAACAGGAATAAAAAATAAACTCTAAAAAATGTTCAAACAGATTGTTAATCCTAATGATGTTATTGGTAAATTGGCCAAAACTACTCGTACTTGCAAATACTATGTACAGCAACAAATGCAAATAAAGGTAAAAAGAAGAGTTAAAGAGTGCAATGGCAAATGATATTTGAAAAGTGATTGTCATGGCGACCTTAAGGGCAGAATATTTTAAGGAATAGTTCCTCTAGCTAATCTCTAAGTTAAGAATGTATGAATGTTGCATTAGCGACTTGCGTATGAATAATCGAATATACGCTACAATTTATAAATGTATTCGTTTAACATGAAATCAATGTTACAACAAGTATCGAATAATTGTGAACACTATTATGCATTCGTGTTAGAGCGTGGGCTGCCTTTACAAAGAATCAAACTCTATGCCCCCTTAAGAACTAAAACATACAAAGCTTTCGGAAGAGGATGATTTTATAACTAAAACAAAAATCAGTAGGTGCAGAACAATGCATATTTATTGACCTGTAGGTCTTTAACATTTACAAATCGTTGTTTAGTTAATGCATGGTTTAAACAACAGCCATCATGTCTTTAAGTCAATCGTTGGCCATCATTAAATCAAGTTTGCCTACTTCAGTAACACTTTGGTGTTTCTTTAATTTTTTTTCTTTGCATTTTCTATCGTAGTTCAGTTTGCAATAAGCAATTCTCTGTGCTGTAAAAGAACATTTTAGGAAGCTTTGCAAAGTACTTTATCACTTTCAACGAAAATAAAAGGAGTGAAAATTATTGTTGGTTTAATGATATCTAGACAAATTTCGAAAACATCCTGCCAGTCAATTGTATACATTTACTTTAAAATAATAAAAACAAAAATAAGTATTTTTTTTTAAATGAAAACCCATTTTCATATGAGTTTTTAATTATTTAAACCGTCATGTTTTAGTGTGTGGGTGCCACCCACCCGAGGAATATGGAATGAATACATGTTAAAGTGAGGTTTACCGTTGCATTTCAGGTTCGTTGAACCCTCAAAGTTTGACAAGTTTTCAGGTGTGTTGGCTTTATATTCGTGCCATGTCATTTTCCCTTTATTTTCTGCTATAATTGAAAAAGTTTTTTTCATTCTTCTATTTATGTTTTGTTACAACTTTAAATGTTAATGGATAATTAAATTTTCTTCTTTTGTAACAACATTGTGCAAATGCAAATTAGCCGGTTGCTGCAGATTTATTACTTGACAAGATTACAGTTTCAACGGAAAGTTTTAACTTGTAAAACGTTAATATATTTTTTATTTTCCTACGCATATTCAACAACAAAATTTAAAAAATTGACCAAAACGCGAGATGCATGTTAGTATAGTTTTCTCCTCTCAACAGGATTGTCAATTCGGATGCAACGGTGCTAAAGCAAGGGCGTGGCAACATATACCTTGTATCTGTTTATCTGCCCTTTGAATCTCCGACACTACAACCAATCTTGGATCTGATGAAACTGGTGATGAGTCAGAAAGGAATAGTAAGAAATTAATAATAGGTTGTGATGCCAACACCCACCATGGAGATTGGGGTAGCAGGGGACAAGCACTCATGGATTTCTTCAATACTAAAGACTTAATCACATTGAACTTAGGTAATAAAGCTACCTTCGTCAATAGAATCAAAGAAGAAGTATTAGATATTACTATATATTTAGAAGAGCTTATTAACGAAATTCAGGATTAGAGAGTTTCGGAAGAGCACTCCTTTTCAGATCATCGATATAAAATTCAAAATACTTCGGCTACCATCAAAGCCGATTAAGTTTCGGAATAAGTCTGAAACTAATCTTCGGGACCTTACTAAAGAACCGCTTAGTACAGGACACTTTTCAATGTCGAAACCCTGGGTATCAGGTAGGGTGATCGACTCGATTTTTCAACCGGTTTTAAAACCGGTTTTTTCTGCTTTACCAGTGTCGGTTTTTTCTTAATGTTGATTTTTCGAATATCGAATAACCCGGTTTTTTTACTTTTTAAAAACCGGTTTCGAATACTTTTATTTCCTTTGTATTCAAAGATTATTTAAATGAAATTTTTAAGTAAATAATAATACAGCTAAATTTTAAAAATATTTGAGTCGAGGAACTAGCGTATATTTTTCTAAAGCTCCTTTGGTTAAACTTTTTTGATTTTCCTAATTAATTAAAAAAAAATATTTGTAAAATTGATAACTGTTTGATAAAATTTTATCAATCTTAAGATTATATTCCAATTACAATAATTAATTTACGGCTGAAATTTTATGGAAGTGTTGGAATGCCTATGCAAATTTCATAAACAGGGCTTTTAAAATAAGCTAGGATTACATAGTACCTTATGTTTAACAGAAGTGTCCCACTTTTTTCCTAATTTTTATACCCACCATCAAAAAAGATGGGGGGTATATTGATTTTGTCATTCCGTTTGTAACACATCGAAATATTGGTCATAGACCCATAAAAGTATATATATTCCGGGTCCTTATTAAATTCTAAGACGATCTAGCCATGTCCGTCCGTCTGTCCGTCCGTCTGTCTGTTGAAATCATGATAGGGACCACACGAGAGGAGCTAGACAGTTGAAATTTTGCATAAATATTCTCTATTGTTAAGGTTTGTTTGGTATTGAAAATGGGCAATATCGGTCCATTTTTTCGGATAGCCCCCATACAAGTGGATCTCCAAAAAACAGCTTTAACGGGCATAACTGTTTTATAAGTAGGAGTATAGCGATGAAATTCGACATAAAGAAGTTTAATGTGAGCCAAAATCTTTCTACAAAATTTTTTGAGGATCGGCTTATAAATGACCCTACCTCCCATATAAGGTCCCCTTATGAAAATTACTTTAACACTCATTACTGGTCCTAAAATGCAAGTATAGCAATGAAATTCGGTATAAGTATGTTTCTTACGAACCAAAATCTATCTACCAATTTTTTTTAAGGATCGGCCCATAAAAGACCCTACCCCCTATATAAGGTCCCCTTTAGAAAATGACTTGTAACACTCATTACTAGCCTAAAAATTCGAGTATAGCGATGAAATTCAGTATAAGTAAGTTTCTTACGAACCAAAACCTTTTAACGAATTTTTTTTTAGGATCGGCCCATAAATGACCCTACCCCCCATATAAGGTCCCTTCCTGAAAATGACTTAAGCACTCATTACTGGCCCTAAAATGCAAGTATAGCGATGAAATTCGACATAAATAAGTTTCATGTGAGCCAAAATTTTTCTACCAAATTTTTTCAGGATCGGTCCATAATTGACCCTACCCCCTATATAAGGTCCCCTTTAGAAAATTACTTTAACACTCATTACTGGTCCAAAAATGCGAGTATAGCGATGAAATTCGGTATAAGTAAGTTTCTTACGAATAAATAAATGACCCTATCCCCCATATAAGGTCCCCTTCTGAAAATGACTTTAACGATCATTACTGGCTAAAAAATATGAATATAGCAATCAAATTTTACACAATTAAGTTCCTCGCGAGCCAAAATCTTTTTAATAACTTTTATGTGGATA